GATCTGCCCTGTAATCACATGCCCTAGTGTTCCCTGAACTACTGGGTGTTGTGTCAGCAAGGAGGAGACACAACTGCACTCTGTAAAACATTTCAAGATGCTGAAATTAAATTGCATCTTATCTGGGAAAAAAAAAAAATAATTGCTCTCAATGTTCACAGCCATTAGCTGGTCATCAAGTGACAGGAAACCATCTGAACTTGTCTGATTTCTCAGCAGTCATGGCATTAATTACTTTCATTAATGAAACACCTTGCTTATGATTTTTGAAGATTTTTCATCCCGCCTAAGTGCCTTATCTCTGTTTCAGGGTGTAGCCACTCTTACTCCACCACGTCTGGCCTCCCTTGCCCAGCCCTGGCTTGGTCCATGCACCCATCTTCAGCCTGGCCTGCTGCTCTTGAGCACAGGTAGAAGTCTAGGCTGGGTTGTCTTTAAGGGTGGAAATCTAGGCTACTCCTGTTGCTGGAGAGGCACATCAGTGCCCACAGAGGGTTTCTGCATTGCACTTCCAGAAATCATAGCTCAGCTTGCATGCTCGGAGAGCCTTGGGGGTCACACATCCCTGCAGGAACCCGCTGGAGGTGACAGCACGCCTCGCTTTCCCCACTGTGCACCTGGGACTGGGCACCTCACAGCTCTTAGACACTTCAAAATCCTCAAAAATCGCTCCTCAGGCACATGTTGGGTGCTTTGCTGTTGTCACACTGTACAAATACAGACACACAGAGACCCACCTTGGTGGTCAAAGGTAAAGAGAACACAGTATTTGTACCTTTTGGAGTATATAACCATCAGGGTCAGGTTTTGCTTGAGACAAGCAAAACCGGTTTCTGTGCAGCCAATCAAAGGGGCAATATCTTAAGCCCTGGTAAGGGCTTTGTGCTCTGCTTCCATTTACAGCAATGTCAAGAGTATAGCAAGGACGAATGGGAATCATGTGTGATCATAATGTTCCTATTTATATACACATAAAATAGAACAGGCTTTTAAAAGCCAACACAATTTTCTGTTATAACGATAACCTTAATAACAATATGGTTTCACTGCAAAGATATCAACAAATACAATAGAAATTTAGATAATGCCATAAAATGGATGCATTATTTTTGGAATTTGAAGGACACCTGCCAGAAAACATTTACCAACTCATGCAATCCACAGCAAATTAAATAAAAACTTACCTTCTGCTGTTGCCTGGTTATGACATATTTACTGTGCAGTTTTCTTATTGCTGTGGATTTCTAAGATAATTATTTGTTGCTTAGTGCAAAATATCTGACCTAGAATTTACCTGGACTCACTGAATAGATATTAAAATAAGAAAAGAGATAATACTCTTTTTAAAATTCATTGGAAGATGCAAAACTGATAAATAATATGTGTTTCCACACTGGAACCCTACATGAGCTAGATATGCTATGATTATCCCAAGTGTTTTATTGAAGTCTTCTGTTTAGATTTTGCATGTACTTTGCTGCTAGCTCAATTGAAATGAACTGCAGTATCAAAGTAAAAATTAGGTTTGTCTTCTTTAATTGCTAATGTTAAAAATATTGTGAACGAAGGAAGAGCTCACCAAAACACATCCTATGAACATTGTATCTATGTATCTAGAATGTGTTTTTAGAAAATATTACAGATTTTGTTTATTACATTAGCCTTCTTCCACTTATTACATAATTTGTCTCTTCTATCTTTGCTTCTTTTGCTGAAATCACAGAATACTAAAATTCTCATAAGACATTGGTTTCCTTTGTAGCTTCCATTTCAGTTCTTTGCTGATTGTGTATGTGTTCCTTTTAATCATTTAGCAGTCTTTTGTTACATTAATAACCAGTCTTTCCTCTTGCATTATGAAATACCATAACCATGAATGCCAAAGTGGATTGCTGGATGGTGTTTGCTATCATGTGTCACTTTACCATGTCTTTACTTATGCACATTCCTAATCTGCTGATTTTCGCTCCTCTTGGTGCTGAAGGATGTCTGGGCAAAAGGACCCATCTCCCACAGATCCTGAGGTAGCTGAGCTATAATGTGTGGTAGCCAGGGGAGGAAGGCTCCAGGAGTGGAAAATGCAAGGTTAGAAAATGCAGAATTTAAAAAAAACCAAGGATGGCTTATGTCTTCATTGTTGCTGGATGACTCCTGCTTTCTGTCCAGTTTAAGGGTGTCAGAACTTGACCTTCTTCCTCTTATGCATGACAGGAGCAAGAAAGAATGAGAAATGTTTGTTTCTTGTTTTCTCAAGCATGGTTTATGGTGCCAAATACATTTGGAGGTGTGCTTGGAGTATGTGGCAGGGAATGGAGGACCTGGAGGCCAGAACTGTCTCACCAGTGTAGGAAAATTGGCTCTGCAAAGAGCAGGAAAGGGAGGAGTGCTGAGTTGCTGTTTCTGCTGGGGGTCTGGGGCAGCAAGTGGGGCATCAGGGCATAAGGCTGCACACACAGCCCCTGGGCCAGCAGCCAGGGCTCCAGCACACCAAGACATGGTGCTGCCCTAAGCAGTGTAATTTGTGCACAGCTGTATCTGAAATGGGAAATGGTTGCATCATAGGCAGAATTAATACATCTGCCTTTACTCAGGTCCCACGGCCTTCTCCCCCCTGCAGTGATGTGTGGGGCTTTTTTCCGGTGCTGCCAGTTGTCTTGATTTCAGAGATTATCAGGGCAATATACCATAGATGTTTTCATTACTATAGAAAAGGCAGTTACACATGTAAAATGTCAGTCTGAATGCTTCCTTTACCTGTGTGGTGGAGGTTTAAATCTTGAGCAGGGCATATGATTGCAGCTTGCCTTGAGTGTAATAAGGAAGTAATTACTCAGCTATTGAGAAAGGTCCTAATATCATTATAGATAGCCTGAATGTCTAGGCAATATCTGCCTATTATTTGAAATGGTTTCAAAATACTTTGGAAGAAAAAAAATCCAACCCCTCACATTCAAGCCACATGGGGAGAATACGAGTTATCATAAAAAAGTGTTATGAGATAATTCTAAATGTCAGTTTAGCATATTTTAGCCTATTGGATCTTTATACAGAGTTGAGTAACATCTTTCATGAAGTAAATGTCTTTTTGGTAAACTGAAAGGGACGATAATATTTAAAGGTCAGTTAACATGGAGAGTTGGTTCTAGTTATTATTATTAAAGATCCAGCTGTATTACCTTTACACAACATTACCCCACAAATCCTTATTAAAACTGCAAAAGCAAACCACATCTTCCCTTTTTTTTCTCTCCTGCCCCTCCTTCCTTCAACGATCCTGAGATCCTTGATTCTGCCTTCTCTTTATATGTAACAATTTCTCTAGTGAATAGCACTGGATGATCCTCACCCTGCTTCTGCCACGCTGCATCTGAAAGAGTCATACATTATAGTTGCTGTCAGTGCTGCCAACCAGAAAAAACCCTCTCATTTCTACATTACATTTCAGCCTCCCACATATGACATGAGCTACCCTGCAAACAGTTGTTTAATAGTTTTCAGCTGCTTAGGAAATGGTAGTTGATTTCAAAGGGGTTTTTATTCAAGAAGAAGTTGCAGTAGTGCGTTGTGTGACTGCTGCTGTGTTTAATTGGAAGCAGGCAGGCTGTCTGCCCATTGCACTGCCCACCCAGCCGTGACCAACTGGTATTAATAGGCTGCACAATGAGCTGGTTCATTTGTGCACGAGCACCCCCTCCCCAGAAACCTCTCCTGGGAGGCTTTCTGTCACAGGGTGCGTGTCTCCCAGGGCTGGGGGCTTGGGGGCTGTGCTGCAGGCTGGCAGCGTGGGGTGGGCACAGGCTCTGGGCCCCTACGTGCATGAGGTGACTGTCCTGGGTGTATGGCTGGGGGCTTCCTCCCACAGCCCTCTGCCAGGGCTCAAGCTGGGCTGGGCCTGGGAGCTCTCCTCTTGTCTCTGAGCCACTGCTCACAGCAGTGAGCTGTGAGGCGGGTCTGGGCATGGCATGGAACAGTTTGCCCTGTGTTTGTACCTGCATCTGGACGCTTCTCTGGGCTGTGCTCTGTGCTCATAGCCCTTTTGCTACCGAGATGGCCTGGAACAAAGAGCTTCTGCTGAGGATCCCCGAGGGGAAGATGCTGCCAGGGTTTGGGGTTGCAGAGGAGGTGTTGATGAGTGGGGTAGCTGGCCAGGAAGTGAAACAGAAGTGGAAAAGCAATGACCAAAATAAGGAGATGGGATCATGTGTTCTTTCTTCACAGTGCTGGATGTAGAGAAACCCAAGTGATTTGGGAGCCCTTTCAGTCAAGGAGCAGGGCTGGGGCAGGCTGTTACCCTGCTCCTGGGCACGCAGAGGAAGAGCAGTGACAGCGTGTGCCAGGCCCAGGTCCTGATGGGCAATTCAGGTGTAAGACTCATATTTTAACAGATAGAGAGAGTTTAGGTAAAGACATGGGAACCGTGCTGTGTCTGAGGGTGGCAGTGCATGGGGCAGCCTGGCTGCCCTTTCCTGCAGTAATGGAGATGTGTGTGCCCAGAAACATTCAAGGACAACTGCACAATGTTCAGTTCAGAGTATTTCTCTGCGCTGAGCAACTCTACTAAATGCAATATGCAATTAGTAAAACGGCTTCCATGGAGAGATGCAAAAGCTAAGTGTCAGATTTTTTATCCTAAGAAACCTCAAAAAAAAAGTGCCACAGTTTCTAATTTCCCAGAAGGAGAAATGTGATGTTGTAGAAATGGAATGGTTTGCTGCAAGCTGTGGCTTTGATGAGACAAACCCATGCCGTTACCTAATGTCTTGTTACTGCTCACGTGAACATGAGGATTTGATGGGTAGTGAACACATGACCAGGGACTTCAGGGTTGTTGGTCAAGGCAGATCACCACTTTGCCTGTAAAATGTTTGTCCAGAATCAGGACAGGTCCTTGGATACGAGTTAATTACCCAAATTTGCTCACAGTGACAACTAGGAAAATCACCTGTTTGGAAAAAGACCCTGTAGACCTCGTGTGACTGCTTTCATACAATGTTTTCCAGGAGCTGATCATGGCTTTGGGACAGAGAGGAGGACTTGAGAGCTTCCAGGCATCTCCTCTGCTCCATCAGGTGCCTTTCTTCCCCAGGAGCTGCCTTCACATCAGAGAGCACTCTGAAAGGTTTGTCTGCTGGACATACTGGCTTTTGAGTATCAGATGAACACAAACTCAGCCACAGACAGGCCACTGTCTGGGCACAGAGGACACTGAGTGCTTGAGTTGCTGCTATCTGTGCTGTGCCATCTCCAGCCAGCTCTGCTCCTCTCAGCACTGCCCAACAGGCAGCTCTAGCCTGAGCACAGGCTGCTGTTAAGGCAGCCAGGCTAGTGACAGGCATGCAGGTAACAGCAGCACAGGCAGGGTGGAGGGCAGCTGTGTTGGGAAGTTATTCACCCTTGGTTACTTTTTACACCCCATTAGGCTTGAGGCTGCAGAGATCCAAAATTAGCACTGGTGGGACACTGCAGAAATATCCCCTTTCCATTGCTGTGGGAAGCTCCAGAGTGACAAATACAGTGATGCTACTCTAGTAAACAGTAAAAACATAGGGAAGCATTCAGTCTTCTGTTTTTCAATGTCCTGGGCTACTTCATGACCTCTACATCCATAGTTACACCCCTGTAAGAAAACATGCCTTCCTGTTTGTTTTTTTTCCAGAGCATCCTAACTCCCTTTCTTTCCTTGTTTCATTTCTGGATGAAAATCCAAACCCACACAAGCACTTAGTTTTCCCTGCTTCTGGTGTCCTTGGTTCCCTCTAAGTAAAAGGCTTTAAAAGGCTATTTTTCCAGTTTAGTATACTCTCCCCTCTTGTGCTAGTTCACTGATGACCTCACTGGTCTAAATATAGGCTCACCTCCCCCAGGCACAGGAGAGCAGGACCACACTCAGCTGTGGAGGTGATGGAAGTGTTGCCTTTCCTTTCAGCAGCTATGTTGGCTTCCATAGCTTCAGCTGCTCCAAGCCTGCTGCAGCCTGTGCAGCCGAGGCCTCTTCAGATGTGCTCTGCCCCGCCTTAGTGCCCCCGCTGGGGGCTGCTGCAGGCAGAGCATTGGAGCTGCCAAAAGAGATGGAAAGGTGGGAAGCAGGGCTGGGGGTGGGACATGTCTGCCTGCTGGGGAGGAAGGCTGGCCACTGCACAGCTCCTACAGGAGGAGGTTTGTGGTGGGAAAGGAGGTGGGGACAGCATCTCTGGGGCCTTGGGGGGCTCTTCTTCCTGAGGAAACACAGAAAGCTGAAAGATACTCCACCTGTCCTTTACCCCTCCAATAAATATTCTGCCCTGTGCCCTGTAGATGTGAGAAAGAAAATGTGATTAAAAAGGTAAAATGCTTTTATTTGTGAAATATTAGCTTTGTGTAATATGTATTCAAAAGCAGATACTCATTTAAAGGTTATATTTAATATAGCTCTGCTCCAGTTTTTCTTTTTTATTATTTTCTTATACATCTTTTCACTTTCTAAGGCAATGCTCCAGTGACTACTGCAATATAATAGCTGCTTTCTCTCTCAGTACACAATTTGACAGCATTTATTCTTTCCTTCAGTGAACATAATTACTTCACATATGGAACCTGTGATAGCCTACAGGCATCTGAGAGAAACCAGAATCATACAATCTGTCCCCTTTGTGAGCTTAATTTACATTCACAAGTGTCATTTTAATAGTGCTGGCAACATGTAGGATAAAAATTACAGGTCAGCTGCAGCATGTCACAGGGAACTGTGCTTAAGTCAATAACATGGTATTATTACATTCTGGATAATTTTACAAGGTAGATCTCACAGAAGGAATTTGACCCCTATTTCTTTAGTTTTCTGCCTTTTGGTTTCCTTCATAAGGTAATTCACTTAGAAATGGATGTTGCAAAACTGCAAACATGTTGACAAAGAGGTTAGACTGTAGCAGGCATTTCCAAATAGGAAAGCAACACCTTTCCCTTGCTGTAAATTGTAGCAGTGCTTAGAATTGCCATGCTCTGGCATATTTTAAAATTTGCACCGTTAATTCTTGAAATTTGTTTTCCTGATCCATGTAACAAAAATACTGAGGGGCATAGCCTTCTGCCTTCTCATTTCATACAGTTGACAGAAGTTTGAGCTTTCTGCAAGTGATTATTTTTTAGCCAGCAAAAGCAGTCTCTGGCTAGGCATCTTACAGACATTTTGTACAAGAAAAATAGTGACTGTCACAGAGACATGCTGCATACAGACCTATGTGTGATTCATGATTTAATGTATATATTTGTAAGACCTAAAAATAATAGCTCATTTTTTATATGGGCATCTGTAATATAGATAAAGGTGCAATAAATAATCTAGTAAACATCAGGTGATTTTTTTTTAGTGAAAACTTGTTTTGGGGAAGAGCACTCAATTCAAATACAAAATCCATCTTAGTTACCATTACTGATTATTTTCTGTTTTTACAAACCCCATAATTTACTGCATTTTAAGCTTTCAAAGTTTGTTTAGGTCCTGTATAGTTTGCCCATAGTACTATGGCATTCAAGAAGTCCATGTGTACACAAACAAGGCAAATACACCCCCAGGTGCCCCCCTGCACACATACCCAAACACATCCATTACCTGAACCACAGCCATTTACTCCTCCTGAAATTTGCATCCTTCTCTTGCTGTAAGCGTTTTTAATCATTTGAGAAACACAAGGGGGAAAGCATCTTTTATCTAACGATTCGTTTTCGTATCACTGACAGTGCTGGAGTTTGAGTGAGTTTTTTAACTAAGCCCACGCACCCGCCCCACTCCCCACAGCCCTCAAAAATAAAAGCATATTATTCCTGAGGAGACTAGATAGAACATACTTAAATCTACAGTAAAAAAATATTATAAACTAACAGCAAGGAAGTGGATGTATAAAACCTAGATATAGTGAATATGCCCAATACCTGAATACTTGTAACATGGCTGAGAATGAAGCAAAAATGCGTATAAACCCCTCAAATAAATGAGGTTAAAATCAGGAAAATTGCAACTTGAGTACATCACATGTTTTTGAGAGTGAAGGTAGTTAGGCACAGAAAAGGATGCCTTTTGAGACTGCTGGAATGCCTATCAAAACTTTGTGTTTTTCTAAAGGATGTGTCCCACTCAGCCAGTGGTCTGATGTGGGAAGTCAGTCAGTTTTGTTTCAATGTCCATGTTTAAGTCCTTAAATCCCCTAAAACACACAGCCAACCTCTGAAGTCTAATGTCAGCCTTTACTTGGGAAAGTATTTATTTGGAGCACTGGGAAATGTTTTCATGTAAGGAAAGTATGTATCAGTCATGTTTTTCAGAGTCTGGCATAGGAAAGTGTTTGCATTTCACTCTTTATCCTAGCGGGAGGCTCTGGTTTTGTTACAAGCTCTCAGTTGCTGCAAGGCTGTAGGCTGGGAAAAAAGAGCCACAAAGGGCAAGCTGGAGGTGTTCATTCCACCTCTGGAGCTCTCCCACACACCCATCTTAGCATAAAAACTTCTGTCACTGATACACATGACAACATATGTGCAAATATTAATATTTTATGTGCCTCATGACTGGTTGATCAAACTCTTACCAGTGGAATATTTGAAATTTGACCATTTTCATTCTTTGTGAGGATCTTTTATGAGCTACATTTCAGTTGGAGAAAAGTCTCATTCCACTGGAGATTTGCTGGAGTGTTTTGTCTGCCTCTCCTCAGCTTCTGTCCTCTCCCTTAGCTGATACTAGGTTTATTATTTGCTTGATTAATGATTGCCATATCTGGTTTTTCTATTTTAGATGAGGAAAAAATAAAAGAGGAAAAAAAAGAGTGTTTACAGGGGAGACTTTGCAGACAGAAGGAAGCTGGGTGCAAGGCCCTATCTATGAATGGAGATTACTTCTGCTTCTTAAACAGTAAGGGATCAACAATCAAGTTCTTGGCCTGACATCCTCTTTTCACCAGTAGAACACAATTGTGCTGATAACATTTGGTAGAAGAGGCTGAACATGCAGTGCATGAATTCTTTTCTTTGGCCTAAAACTTGAGCCTTTGAGCTCTCTCTTCTTGTCACCTTGTGATGCTGGGCTCTGGAAGTCCTTTTTCTGTCACCTCCTGTTGGGCAGATGTTTATTGGTGAGAAAACTTAAGAGCTGTTAAGGTTTCATCAACATAGTTTGGAAAAAGGTTTTGTGTGTCATCACCAATGCTTTCGAACAAAAGTGAAATCTTTGTGGGCTGGTCTCAGGGAAGTTGCCAGGCAACTAGGAGGTTATAGCTTGTAGTCATACCTGGTGGCTTGTGGATGTAATCAGTTGGTTTTTCTTTGTAAAGTAAAATAAGAAATTGCTATAGTAAGAATACCCAAAATGGAGTTTTTCCCATATTGGGAAGGAGTTCTTTGCTTGACTACGATGATGGTGCTTGGCCATGCTTGCCTGGTGGCACCTGGGGCTCCCTCCATGTGCTGCAGGCAGCACAATGCCTCAGTTCAGCCCCTCTGCCCCAGTGTGCAGCATCAGGACAGATGCAGGAGCCCGGATTAGTGCAGGCAGTCTTTCATATTGTATTTTCTGAGTGATGGGCAAAGGAGCAAATCTACAGATTCCATGTGTGCTGTTTTAATATACCACTTAGAGGATGAAGCAGAACAGTGTCTGTGGTTAATACAAATTTTAAAAAGATAATGAGATGTTTTGCCTCCCAAGCTGGCATAGAATCTTATTTTCTTTACTCGTCCTCCTCCAAAAAAACCCCCCTACCAAGCTCTTGTCTCCGATTTGTTCATAAATACAATATCAAACACCTCCTCTGTGCCTCTGATGTGTGCTTGAAGCCGTGTGCCACTGTGTTGATTCATCTGGAGGATGCCCAGCGTGTGAGTGGTTTGGCACAGTGTGGTACAGGGAGGAATCTGATAGTGAGAAAGTCAGAGGCAATGGCATAATTATGAAGGATTTCTTCCCCTCATACTGCTTCTTGTTATTTATTCTTCTCTCCATGTTTCCCCTGGTTATTTCTCTTCCTGAAATGAAAATAACCTGGCAAGAAAACAATGTTTCCACTCCCATCATTTTTAGGCAAGGAACACCAGGCATGTATTTTTTTTAGCGTTGCTAACTGACGGATGATTATTCACCAATATTTTTTGTTG